ATTATGGTGAATACAAGGTTTCACCGCATACAAGTGCTTCCCATTCTTCATTGCTCGTTAACAATTATTTGAAATGTTAATTTAGCCTTCTTAAATTCTACTTGAAATCAAACATCGATTAAAATTAGCAATCTATTTATAGTTATTTCCGTTGTATCGTATGTGCATCATCGAAATGTTATATTATGACCAACAGGAATTGATGTTGCTCATATTGCTCCGTAAAGGCAAGTAAAACAATTTTAAAGCTTAATTTAAAAAATAATTTTAAATAATTTCAAAAATTAATTTTTTAAATAATTTAAATCACTAAAAGATAACATATACCAGCCATATCAGTTTTCATCTCTTCACAATACCCAAATAGGATAAATGGGAAGGGTCATTACCATCGATGGTATTTCATCGAATGTAATGTTGTTATTCATTTGAATTGATTCACCGGTGCTAATCGGTCTAACATCTTTCTTTCTGTCATCTCATTCCCTTCCCGATATCGCTGATAAAAATTCTCTTCTTGGAATTGCTTTACCGTTTCTTACTTAATTTCCATCTCCTCATCATAGAATAGGAATGTAGCATAGATTGTCCGTATGAATGAGATTTTACAAATAATTTCAAAATTAAATATGTGCAATTTAGAAAAAAAAACAATTAAATTGATTGATTGGTTCCTTTTACAGGCACGCTATTACACTTTCTAATTCTTTAGCTCAATAATAATGTAAGCTGAATTATTTTAATATGAAATGTAAATCATTGCTGATTGGAGCATAAATAATAAACACAAAGGAATTAGGTGTTATTAGTATGCTAATACCGATGTTTAATGCATTAGCACTCAACAACGACTTCCGTTAGATTAGAAAGAGTTCAGCTTGGCATTCAAATTTGCAAGCAAAATTATTTTCTTGCAAAAGCTAAGGTAAGTGAGGTAAATGCATCGATCAGTTCATTCTTTTTTTCTTTTTCCGGATTAGCATAAAAAATCTACACAGGGCAAACTCGAACACGGGTCTTTTATCCCACATTTCCACTCTTTGTTATATCAGAAAATTATTTCATTAAATTTATTACTAAATAAGTATAGTTGTGCAAAAAAAAGTGTACCCAAATTTCTTCCATTACGATTAAGTTCATTAGTCAATTAAGCTAAGATATATTCAGGTTAGTTTTTTGATAACAATTAGTCCCGGATAATTTCATACACCTGAAGTGCAGAAATTAAACCAACCTTATAATTACGTAGTTATTCAAATGTTTTCAAAATTTAAGATCGAAATAATCTTTCATAAAAAAATGTGAGCAAAATTAAAAGGAAATTATTATTGTAAATTGGTATTTCTTTTCTTTTCGTCTATTTTTCCAATATTATTCATTCATTATTGACAATTTATAAAATCAATTCAATATTTCGTTCTTGTCTTTTTTTGGTAAAAAATAAGTTTTATGTCATCGTTCTCTCTAGCAACATTTGAAATTTTTATAGAAAAATTCGAATTTTTCTTTGCAATATTTTTGAAACTTTTAAGGTTTCAAGGAAGTTATTTAATTGTACTTTAGTATAGTTGATTGCATCTTTCTTATTCATAATTTAGTTGTTACCTTTTTTATCGTAATTTTCACACTTACGATGACCATCAATAAATGACAATTTGATTAATTAAAAAATAAAAAATTTTATTTCTGCTATTTTTGAAGTTCCGTTAATAGAAAAACATTTTTTCACTATGTTGAACATTGGGAACTAAGGGGTCAAAGTTCGCTCCTTACATATATCCTTTAATATTCTTGATTCTCATTATGTCTGTGTGGGTGTGTCAAAAAATGTATCTTAATTGGATCATCGCGCAATTATTCATTTTGCATACTTTTCATTTGCTTTCTCATTTCTTTCATTTGTAAGATTTATTTGTGAAACATCGTTATGAAAATAAAAAGTATTCAATTGAACGATTTGTTTTTAATTTGTTAAAGATATCGAACGAATGAAATGAAAGGAAAGGTGACAGTACATTTTGGTAATATTGGAGTGGTTGTTCCATGCTATGATTATATGACTGTTAATGATCTCATTAAAGCTTCTATTTTGCGATACAAAAAAGCCACCGGACGAGTAAGTTTTTAGATTTTATCTTTATTTAATTAATTTAATTACAGATATTTTCAAAAAAGTTAAACCTATAAATTTTTTCAAATTTTTGACAATTTCTTATAAATGACTTAGTGGAAATTGTATTTATTTCTGAATTGATTAATTGCATTTGAACTTTTGTCAAATTGTCATAATTTACAATCGGCAGTGTACGTTGAATGCAGCGCACAGATTGACATTTAACATTAATAATTCCATGATCTCTCAAATTTGTATTTTTTATTGTTGATCAGTACTGATAGCAATCTTATAAGTATTTTATTTTTATTATCAAACGAATAGTATTTCTAATTTTTAAAATCGTTTCTCTTCTTTTCCTTTTCCCACTTTACGGAAAAATATTACTGATCTTAGCTGTATCGATGTGTGAAAATTATTAAGAAATTGAAACATTTTTCTGTTGAAAATTACTCATATCTTCTTTGTGCTCTGAATGATAACTTTTTTTTAGAAAAAATTTTAGAAAATAGTTTAAAATTTTAACAAATAAATGAATCTCTGAAATGAATGAAAGGAGGACTCTCGGTAAGAGAGAGAGGGAGAGAGAGAGAGAGAGAGAGAGAGAGAAAAAGCTTTGCTGTAACCAAACTGTGAAGCGTGTTGTGGATTGAAAGGTAGCCGATGATGCTAAACGATTATGAAACAATACTGGAAGAATCACTTCTAAATTTACGGAAGAAGGAGTTTCTCTTTCACAGCTGTTAATTCAATTTTCGATAATTTAGTATTGCTATTTAAGCTTTTTATTAAATACTGTGTCAATACTTTTGAAAACAGTGTGAAATGTGTTGTAATTTGATATATTGTTTAGCCTTAAATCGGACTGGTACTTTTGCTATATTAATGGAATTTATTGATTTCATGATAATTTGCAACTCCTAATATGAATTTTTTTACTTTTTAACGATCAAGTTTTTTTTCAAAAATTGATAATTCTTTGTGAATACATTGACAATTTCAGGTCATTTCTACTTTGTTTATCACGTTGCTTATTCGTTAAGAATGAATACAGTAAGTTAGAAAAGGTTAATTATTGGTAGAGTAGCTAAATGGACGGGTCAAGAAATTCACAATATCTTACAAACAATGCAATCTTTATTCATTAATTGAAAAATATGAGAGGGAATGCATTAAGTAAATAAAATGAGTGATAAAATTCAAAACTTTCGAGGTCATCTGTGTCATACAGTTTGTTTTGTCCCTTGGGAAATTTAGTCTTAATAATAATATGCATTTGACCTTTATATGTGTATATATATGGCTTTGACCTTTGTGTCTTTGTGTGTGTATGTATGAGTCCGTGGAAGAAATTGTTTGGCCATATGATAATAAAATTTATTATTCAGATCGAAGGGTCCAATCAGCAACACGGGAAATGTACCTTTTTTTCATGGCTTCTTAGACGACCAACTGAATGCCACGGGGATTTTTTGCTTTGCATAATTTTCCATAATTATTTTGCACAGGTAAGAGGATGAGATGAGTGCGCGTAGTGCATGTGCGTGTGCATGCACATGCGGGTGTACGTATGTATGCAGGTAGCATCTATGTGTGTGTGTGGGTGTCTGTCTGTCTGTCTATAATGATGCAGGTGAGGTGATCGAGGGTATGGGGAGTCTGCTCTGTTATGTCCCACCTGTATGGTATCGATCAATACCGCGTCACAGATTGTTGAGAATGAAAAAGTGAGGCGATCGATTGATCATCGGCAGGGTATATATTCTCGAGACTCTCGATACTTACCTCATTTTACTTATTGTCCTTTAATTTCAGTGAAATTTAGTACATATTTGCAAACTTTTCTTGCAAAATGATCATCCTTCTTGCATACTTTGTTGCAAGCAAAACTATCTGTTCGAAATTTTCCATGGTTCAGTCAATATTCACCAGAGAGCGGTCGGATAAATTCAATTGAAACAATTATTTATTTACTCGCTCGCTTGGATAACTCAGTTCCGTCTGTCTCTGACAAAAACTTTTTCTCACTTATTGTCGATATTTAATAAATAAATCATCACAAAAACGATAAATGATGGTGGTTGGTGAGAATTTGTTAGTGCCTAATTGTGTGCAATGAATTGATTTAAATTCAATGATTGAATCAAATTGCCAATTCACTGCGATGGTGACCTCTTCTGTTTGAGGTGACATATTTTATTAAATAATAATTATCATCTCTTCTTTTGTAAATTAGATCATTAACAAAAGAAAAGGCATGCTGCTCTGAGAGAACATTTTTTTTATAAATTAGAATCGGAATTAGGCAATTTTTGGGTTGCTCCAAAAATAATTTATTAAATGAGGAAAATAGCATAGTTAAATTCACGTATGTACGTAAGGCTAACACGTAATGTCGTCACGTAATGCATACACATTCATGCTTTATGGATTATCGGTTTTTCATTAAAAAAGAATTCTTTTCAAAATGAGATATGCCATATTATATCGATGATTTATTAAATGAATACATGAATGTGTCGATAAATAGCATTTCCAATTCCGCTTATATTTCTGATTTCGGTTAGCATAAAAAATTCAAATGATCGATTCAATTTTAATTTTCATTTTGTTGATATCAGAAATGATGATAAATAAGTATTGCTGCTGTATATTTAATCGTCAAACGTATGCACACGCAAACGTTTGTAAACCGTCATCTCTGTTATCATTTGATCACAATCAGGAATGGCTACGAATACGATTATGAAAGAACGATGATTCATCGTCCATCATTCTTTTCTCTCTGTTTCTAAAAAGAGACGAAATTGATTTTGAAAAAGAGAAGGGCGAGGGAATTTTTCCACTTTACTATCACTATCATTATCATTATCATCTCACATATCATATGATGTCCACAACAACAGATAGTGCTGTTATCGATCATACTGCTAACGTACACTGCCAACAGAATGCAAATTATGTTACAGTAAGTAAATTCTTATCTAAATTTGGATAAGTAATAGTCAGATTTTCGTTTTATTAATGTTTTAAAAAAATTGTTCGATAATCAAATGAAACGAATATCTGACTTTTCCTTGTCCTCTTTATTGACATATCTATATAATTAGCATACCAGAATTTATAGCCATCAAAGCATGATGTCTTTGTTCATCATGTTGAATGCTTACGAGATGGTGGCATTCTGGATCCCGATGATCAGCTTTTTGATGTTTTTGATGAGAATAATGATCAGGTTAGTGGAAATCATCGAAGGTTTTCAAAGTTTACTGCAAAGCTCGTAATACAAGTTATGTGTATCAGTGAATTGAGATAAAATTAAAATAATCCGTAAATTGGATGAAAATAAGTGGAAAAAATTGTTCTAGAAAGAATTAGATTCTTGAATCGTTAGTTCACATTTTTTAGTCGAAATAGTGAAATCTCAATTTTTTTAAATTGAAACTTTCACCCGAATTTCTGCTTTTGATTTGCCAATAATTTTACAATCCAATTCAGATAATTACTTTTTGCAAGAATTTTGGCAAAGCTAATGAGTAACTTATGATGTGAATTTAGATATTAGCGATCTACGACGAACCTGGCTTTACTGTAGTCGATTCGTCTCCAGCAAGTGCCTCTCGATTTGCCGTCAGCGGAACGACATCTTCAAGTTCTTCATCGGCAACCAGTAAAACCGCTGCATCAACAGAAAGTCCGCTGGATAGCAAATTAAACATCATTTCAAGTTCCAGCGATGGTGATATTGTTGAAATAACGAACATTGCTGTACCGCCGAGTTCGTTTTGTCCTCATTGAAATGTTATTTAATTCTTTTGCTTTTTAACATTTGGTAGATTTCAGGAAATATTTCGAATTATTGAGATGAGAGTGCAACATTTTCGTTTATAAAAACTTGGGAATGTGAGCAATATTTTTTTTTCTAAATTGGTTTAAAAATTAGTTTTATTGAGAGGTTTTTTTTGAATGTAATTAATAGACGCTTGCAAAGAGATTATAAATGATATTAATAAGCTTTAAATAATATTGACTTTAGCTGATGGTTTACGAGTGACCTCGGACAATGCTCACACATTGCAACAAAAGCCATCCTCATCCTCAGTTATAACGGGTTCCGGATCTCTCTCCGTTTCTCTGCACTCGCATTCAGTGACACATTTCGATCGGAAACGTGGTGACACACCGAACATGTGTCGTATTTATCATTCTGCTTTGAAAAATGTTAGCGGGTCACCGAAGAATAAATATCGGGTTACTATATCTCCAGGTTTTTTAATTTCTTTTGTGATCGATCTATTGTAGTCGATTTGATTTTTTATATTTTTTATTTTTTGTTGAGTAGTCTGATTAGAAACAAATGCGTCTGAATCTCCAAAATTTGTTTAATTATGTCTATTATTTTGATTATTATCCAATTACGTATTTCTCAATTTTTCATGATTGAAAATTTACTTTAAATCTATCATTTATCAGTGCTATTTTAAAGAAGGTTTATTAAATTTGATTAATCATACCTTTTACTTCTATGCTAATAGCTGCAAATAATATACCTGCAAGATAATTTCTGTCCATAAAATCTCACAGTTATATTGCAAAAAAAAATGTCATATTTCTTTCAGATGTTGATTGTCAACCATCTCAGGAATTGTCAACTTCTATGAAAGAGTCATTGATGACTCGAACATCCGCTAGGAAATCACGTCTCACCGACAATTTTTTCGATGCTAAAGAACGATTGGAAGAAAAATTAGCAACTGGTATTAAGAGTGGTAAATTAGATATGAAAATGCCGAAATTAATACCACCAATGGAGGCAGCAAATCGAGGACAAACGGTGATTGTACTTTCAGATGCCACAATTAATATGCATTTGGGTATTGAGGTATGTTATTATATTGTCTTAGTGAGGGTTTAGTGCTCTAATATGTTTTGTGTAGGATTAGGAGAAATGAGGTGGCACCTGAGGATAGAAGAAATTAAAAGAGTTATGCATCAAACATGCACCTAATCGATCTCTTTAAGTACCAATAAGCAACGAATCGGTATTAAAAACTTAAATTTTTATTATTGATTATTGAGTTTTATTGTTGATAAAGAAAGTGATGTCGAAAGTTTCTTTGAAAATTTTTTCCAGATTTCACCCGTACATGATCCAACAAATAATATGCGCCTGCAAGCTGTAGAGATCCGACAAATTGATGATAAAGGTAGGGTTGGCAGGGATGGACGTCTTCGGATTGGTGACCGCATTGTAGAAATCAATCAACGTCCTGTCTATCAGGTTATTGATCAAAAATAGCAGCCTACTAAATCCACATCTTTTTTTGTTATTATTTAACAAATGATTTTTATTACAAAATTAGGAATTTTATGATGTTCTTATTCTCTTCTCCATCTTTTAGAAATACAAGTAGCTAAAATTACTTCAGTAAGCAGCTAAAGTTCAACAACTACAATTTCATTTTACAGATGTCGATCTCAAGAGCGCGTGCTTATTTACACGAAATACAAGCAGTTCCTCATCCAAGTCTGACAATCGATCGCTCCATAGAAACGTTTGCAGGCGATAGTAAATTCTTGAACTGTTCATTGTCCATAAATTATTACATAAAATTATAGGACTGTTTCATTAATGATGACCCAGCAATTTAAGTGTAATTTAAATTGATAACACAATAATATGGAATATAAAGTATC